TTCTTGGCATTTAATTTGCCGACCTGTTTAAAAACCCAACAGTCCCTGTTGGTATAATTGGCTGGTTTGTCTAGGGTGCCATGGATCTGGCATGGACGATCGAGTATGCGGTCCAAGCTGGATGGGCCCGGATTGTTTCTTTTATATGGCTTGTTCCGCTGACCGGACTTGGAGCCACTGAATCCGGCGTTGACCGCCGCGTCGTCGGTATTGTCACCGTTGCTTCGACACTTGTGCCTATTGCGTCGGGGCTTCCCGTTGCTGTTTTTGGTCTCAGAGGTGCCAGCCTCGCTTGCAGTATTTTTGCTATGGGATAGCCAACTATCCTCGCCCGCGCAAAAACGGGTCATGAGTGTCGTGAGGGCTGCCATGGACTTCGGCTTTTCTTGGCCGAGGTGACGAGCGAGCCATTCATCGCGGATGCTTTGCTTAAAGGCCGCTAGGCCTTCGACATCTGGACAGTCGACGATCTGGTTCTTTTTAGTTAGGAACATGGTCCAGAATTTCCTGGCCGACTCTCCGGGCTATTAAACTATGTGACTTAAGTCATCAGCATCCGGACCATATTGTGACGTAGCTCGGATGGAGTCCGTCTGCGACATTCAGACCGGGCGTGATTAGGCTTGTCACGTCCGAATAGATAGCCATCATCACGTGCCGGGGCACGTCCCCGCGATTCGTTGATCAATCTGGTATGTCCTACTCTACTGTCCAAGTCCTGCCGAAGGTCGTATGTATATGCCTGAGCTGTTTTATCCCTTCCTTTACAGTGAGGTAGTACGGGTTGGTGTTCGGCTTGGGTTGCTGCTTTGTCCCGACCACGTGGTGGTCGGTCAGCCGCATTGTGCGTTGATGGTACGGGCTCCAACGCCTCGTCATCGAATTGAGGTAGTAATTTGCGCTTCGGGTATCTTTTGAGTGGTCACTCGAGGCCGTATTCCTCGGCTGCCAAGACGTTAGTCCATCTATCGTTGAGTAGATCTTGATCAGCTTGAAGCTGTTGCTGCTTCTTTTCCAGGCTCCTTGCAGTGTCTATTAGCCAGCGCTTAAAGCGCTCCTGCTCGAGAGGTTCCTCAGGCACGATAAAATCCTCATTGCAGAGGCTCACCTCATCCTCGGAGAGTGGAAGATAATTACTGTCCTCCGAGTCTTCGTGCAGGGCCTGTTCATCAGGGCTGACTCGCCCATCTTTCCATTCATCCTGTTCAGAAGTTGACTCAACGGGATCTTCATTGTCTCCGACATCGTCTAGAGTATTGTTTTCTCCTGTGCCAATTTTGCTGTCTTTTTCACGGCGTGACTTAGAGCGGCGCCGCTGTCATCGGTGCTTTGGCTGTATCTCAGGAGGTTTATCTTCCACTGGGTCTTCTTTGTCATCGTCGTTAACTTCTTTGGGTGTGTCCACCATGTATACGTCGTAGGAGGAGGTGGCCGTCCAGCGCCCGGTAAATGGCAGGTTTTGGGCCTGCTCCTCTTCGGCATCATCGTCCATACCGTCGATGTCTACGGAGTCGTAGTCGAGCATGTCGGTTAGATCTTCGACGGTGGCTATTAACTAGGAGGTGGGTGGGAAGCGAAATTCCCCGTCATCAGCCCCCAGTTCAAACCGGATATAATTCGGCTGTGAGTCCCCTGCTAAAGAGAGGGTTTTTAATGAGTTTAGCACATCGCCTAAAGGTGAGTGCCGGAGGATGTCTGCGAAACTAAATTCGCCGATCGGTGCCTGGTAGGGCTTGGCGGACGCGATGCACGTAGTTCGGAACCAGTGGTCGGAGATGAATCTGGGGGTCCGGTGACGCTGACCCCGCTCGAGGTTGGGTCAGTGTGCGGCTCCAACGCCGCTGAGTCTGCGGCTTCCGTGGCGGGGTTAAGCTTCCCCTTCGGATGGCGCAAGCTGCTCCAGATCTAGGGCCAGAGCGCTTACAGGCGCGATCTCCTGGGTATGGTCCAATGACAGATTTAGGTCATGTTCATCGTGGTGGTAGGGAGCGGCTGCCATGGGCTCAAATCCGTCGAAGATCAAGTCTTCGTGGATATCAGCGACGTAGTTCAAGCTTCCAAACCTGACCTGACGGCCAGGGGCATAGCTGTCAATTTGCTCTAGATGGCCAAGCGAGTTGGCCCGCAGTGCGAAGTCATCGAATACGAAGATCTAGCCAGGAAGAAAGACATCCCCTCGGGCAGCATTGTTGTAGATGATGGATGGAGCCATCGAACCTTCTGATGACGACACAACGGAACTCTCAATGAAAGCACCAATGTCGGTGTCAAAACCGGCGGATCTCGGGTAGGGGGTCCCGAACTGTGCGTCTAGGGTCGATGGTAACAGGAGACAGGGGACACAATGTTTACCTAGGTTCGGGCCCTCTCTATGGAGGTAATACCCTACTTCCTGCTTGATTGATCTTGATGAATATGAGTATTACAAGAGTTGATCTACCATGAGATCGTAATGGCTAAAACCCTAAAAGTCTAGCCTATATGATTATGATTGTCTCTATCTCTACGAACTAAATCCTCCGGTTTATATAGACACCGGAGGGGACTAGGGTTTATACAAAGTCAGTTACAGAGAAAAGAATCTTCATATCCGAACGTCAAACTTGCCATCCACGCCAAGGAGAGTCCCATCCGGACACGGGTGAGAGTCTTCGGTCTTGTATCTTTATAGCCCATCAGCCCGGCCCATGTCCAATAGGACGGACGCGCGAGGGCCCCTTAGTCCATGACTCCCTCACCCTGCACTACTTTCTTGGCATCGAGGTGATCCGCCGAGCTGATGGTTTCTTTCTGCATCGGCAGAAGTACGCCCACGAGCTCCTTGAGTGTGCCGGTATGCTTAACTGCAAGCCGGCGCCCACCCCCGTCGACACGAAGGCGAAGGTCTTTGCTCTGGAGGGGTCTCTCGCGTCCGATGGAGCGTTTCATCGCTCTAGCATCGGTGCTTTACAGTACTTGATGATGACTCGCCCCGACCTGCAGTACGCTGTTCAGCAGGCGTGCCTCCATATGCACGCCCCGCGTGACTCTCACTGGACTCTGGTGAAGCGTATTCTCCATTACATACGCGGCACCATGTCCTTGGGACTAATCCTGACGGCCTCCGCCTCCCTCGACCTCGTGGCCTACTCGGACGCTGACATGGCTGGTTACCCCGACACGCGACGCTCTACATCAGGCTACTGCGTCTACCTTGGGCCCTCGTTGATCTCTTGGTCATCGAAGCGGCAGCCCACGGTCTCCCGCTCCAGCGCCGAGGCAGAGTATCGCGCGTGGCTAATGTCATGGCCGAGTGCTCTTGGATACGTCAGCTGCTCCAGAAGTTGCTTTGTGATGTTCACAAAATCACAAGGCCACTCTTGTCTACTGCGATAACGTCAGTGCGGTCTACCTCTCCGCCAACCCGGTACACCATCGACGGACGAAGCATATTGAGCTCGATATTCACTTCGTGCACGAGCAGGTTGCCCTTGGCCGTGTTCGGGTTCTCCACGTGCCGACGACACAACAGTTTGCTGATGTGATGACTAAGGGATTGCCTACTCCCGTCTTCGAGAAGTTTCGGTCCAGTCTATCTGTCTCCGACGACGCTTCGACTACCGGGGGAGGGGGGGGTGTTGAGTATATATTTTATATTGCACGTGTATTGGAGTTGTGGCCCGCCTCCTAGTCTTATATAATTGAGGTAGAGGCATTCTCTTGTATTATATATGCGTGCACCAGCACCCCAATCAATACATCGTATTGCAAATCATCTGTCCACACCATTGGACTAGGAAAAGTGTGCAAGAAGTGCTTCATCCCCCACTTTTATTGTGTTAGTGTTAGCGAAACCAATTAGCAATGCACGACGGCCAAACACAATCGAATTTGCACGAGCTCATTGTAAAATCCGATATTATATTAACTGATCGACCTGGCCAGCTCGTGATTAATTGGCCAAGAGTGGCACTTGTACTTACTATCACGAACTACATTAAGAAGGGCTTTATTGCTAACTCAAAGGCGTGGAGATATTCAGCAGAGCACTGCCAAAGTACTAGCAATAGCAATACATCATCAGCGAGGCGGTCACCGTCACAGTGAGCGGCCACCTAAGGCACCTTAGCTGCAGGGCGCGAGCGGGCGGCCGCAGAGGCACTTGTTGGGCGCGAAGTGCTTGGGGCCGAACCTGTGCGTGTACCGGCCCTGCGGGATCGACCCGCACAGACTGTTGTAGCTCACGTCGAACGCCAGCCACTTCCTCGCCGCCGCGGCCGCCGGGATGCCGCCGTACATCATGTTGTGGTCAACGGCCAGTATGTCCAGCGCCGCCGGCAGCTCGACGCGGCCGAGGTCGAACGCGAACCGGTTGCGCGACAGCCGCACCGAGTTCACCCGCTTCCCGGCGCCGAACAGCGCCGACGCGTCGCCGGTGAGCTGGTTGTCGGCGAGGTCCACGCTGCCGAACTCCGCGCCCGCGAAGGCGGCCGGGAGCGGGCCGGCCAGGCGGTTGCCGACGACGGAGAGGTCGTGCACGGTGGCCGTCGGCGGGATGGGGCCGTCGAGCAGATTGCCGTCGAGGCGGAGGAAGGTGAGGTCCGGGAGGGCGCGCGGGCCCAGGAACGCCGGGATGCGGCCGTAGAGGCGGTTGTAGGCCAGGTTGACGGTCTGCAGGGCGGTGAGGTTGGCGATGGCGGCCGGGACCGGCGCCGAGATGTTGAGCGCGAAGACCGTGAGCTCGGTGACCCGGCCGGTGGCGGCGTCGCAGGAGATGCCCGGCCAGGCGCAGCAGGGCGCGGTGGAGTTCCAGCCGGAGAGGTCCGGGTGGTTGCCCAGGGCGGACTTGACGGCCAGGAGGGCCGCCTTGTCCGCCTTGTCGCAGAGGGCGCCGTCGGCCGCTGCCGCCGCCGCGAGGACAAGGACGGCGACGAGGAGCGGCATGGTGTGGCGGCACGGACTCGTGAGCTGCATGTTGGTTCGCCGGCCGCTTTGTGTTGCGTGGGAGGAGACTGGGAGTGTGTTGTGGTCCACAACTTGTGGAGGCTGAGAACCAAGGAGTCGAGCACGAGCTAGCTGTACATTGCTGACTGAGACCCGATGTGGAGCGCAGTGCCATGGAACACATGCGTATGTCGTGCGCTCTGTTGGTCGGTATGGTACCACACGTTCGGCATCCCTACCCTACGTACTGTACCAAGCATGTGGAATATCTGCCCTCGTCAATGATATCCGCCCTGCTTCATCACGGCAACGCAACACTACAGCGTGTAACACGGAGAGAACAAAAATCCCCTTCCCTGTAGGGAGGGAGGGAGAGGGGGTATGGACCCCCATCAAAGAACTATCAGAACTACAGTTACTACTACCAATCTAGTGTGTGTGTCTAGTTCCATGGTCCACTCTGTTGGTGTGACCCTGATCTCCATTATCGATCATACTAACTGCAAGGCCAGGCATGTTCATACCCGCCGCTAAACATTGAGTTCACATGCTAAAAATCAAATAATATCAGATTCAGTACCAAAAGGCTAACTCAATCCTAGCTTACACACCATTCAATCAGAGCATTACTGCAAGAAACTTTTAACGAACCATTGCACTGCAGACATTGACACATATACACATATAAACTTCGCCCTAGCGCCTACGAGCGAAGGAGAGAAAAAGATGCATGTAGGTGTCAGCCTATGTGTCTGTTTCTATTACATGCAGGATGCAGCCTATGTGACCATCACGATCAAATGAAATGCAGGGTGTTATTCCTTGAAATTATTTTACTGTATCTACCTGTACATTTTTTTTAACGAAATCAAATCTTGAATGTGCAGCACAAAATGTGAGCGCTCCTACATGTAACGTCACTACCCAGCTATTGCACATACATATCCATGATGCGCCGTGTTATACATGATGCTAAACGAAATGGAAAACAAAGTGGAGCATCTGATCTTCCAATGGAAGATGTAAATATCAGCACAGAACGATAGCATTAGCAATGAGTGACCAGCGTCAGAATTAGAGCCTATGAATAAGCAACAGGAGCACAGAGTTTGAACAAAACAGGGACATCTAATACAGTAATACCACAGAACTCCAATGCATCAGAAATTCAGAATTTGATTGTTTGCAGGGTGAAAGTGCTGTCCAATGCAGCAGAGGTTCTAAGTTCTACTCCTAGATGAACAGTTGAACTGGCAAAACATAATCAAGGAGTAACTAGCAAGGCCATGCTGGATGAACAGTTGAACGCTCACTGCAAACATGCAAAATATCTACCCTCCCCCAGTTCCTACCACTTTGCGGGCAAAACATAATCCAGAATCAGACATGAAAGTACAACAGAATAGGCCATACATGTAGACCGCATAGTGCTAGTACTAACAATCATCAGGATGCAAACTTAACCAACTGAACTCTCCAGAACGTAATGTTTTCAATTCTAATAGACTAGCTAGTACTGAAATGAAATGACTTTGTAATCATAATCTACAGAGTTGACTGGTGGTAAGGCTGTTTGAATTTTACACGAATTTGATGCACGATTGGATTAATTTTGGCATCACAAATTAAGTTAATCATCACGACAGATTACTAATTCAGAATCTCTACTTGCATGCAACTACTTAAATTAAAGCCAAGTGGTTGGTGCCAAAACAACAGAAACATCCAACACAGCTCCAACTTGACAAGAATATGCATGAAAGGGTAAACATAGATGCATGGTTAACTACCAGATCATATCCATTGAGCGAAAGCGATCAACAAAACATTGCTCACTTGATGATTCAAAGCTTAAAACACTTTTAGTGAACACTTCCCAAATGCCGAGTAACTAGATGTTCATTCAGTACCTTGTCAAAACGAACATAATACTCCATGCTAATATGCTATCAAGTAAAATTCAATGCATGTAACAATCATCGGGATGCAAACTTAATCAATTGAACTCGCCTGAACTGAATGTGTTCAATTTCAAATAGACTAGTACTGGAATGAAATCAACGTGTACGATAGTAGATCATAATCTGCACTTGACTGGTGGTAAACGCTCTCACTCTGAAAGAAAGCTGAAATAAATCTGACCAGACTTTTACATGAATTTGATGCAAGATTGGATACTAATTTTGGCATCACAAATCAAGTTAATCATTCTGATAGATTACTAATTCAGAATTCTCTACCTGGATGCAACTACTTAAAGTAAAGCCAAGTGTTGATGCCAAAACAACAGAAACATTCAACACAACTCCAACTTGACAAGAATATGCATGAAAGGGTAACATATATAGATGCATGGTTAACTACCAGATCATATCCATTGAGCAAAAGCGATCAACAAAACATTGCTCACTTGATGATTCAAAGCTTAAAACACTTTCAGTGAACACTTGCCAAATGCCGAGTAACTAGATGTTCATTCAGTACCTTGTCGAAGCGAACATAATACTCCATGCTAATATGCTATCAAGTAAAATTCAATGCATGTAACAATCGTCAGGATGCAAACTTAATCAACTGAACTCTTCGGAACTTAATGTTTTCAGTTTCTAATGGACTAGTATTGGAATGAAATCGACTTGTACTGGATTATAATCTACAATTGACTGATGGTAAATGCTCTCACTGTGAAAGAGAGCTGAAATAAATCTAACCAGAGGTTTACATGAATTTGATGCAAGATTGGATCCTAACTTTGGTATATTACAAATGAAGTTAGTCATCACGATAGATCACTAATTAAGAATTCTCTACCTGCATGCAACTACTTAAGTTAAAGCCAAGTGTTGATGCGAAAACACCGGTGCTAACTGCAAACAAGCAAAATATCTACTACCACTTTGCCGACAAATCATAATCCAGAACCAGACATGAAAGTCCAACAGAATAGGCCATATATGCAGACTGCAGAATACTAGTACTAACAATCACCAGGATGCAAACTTAATCAATTGAACTCTCCGGAACTTAATGTTTTCAATTTGTAATAGACTAGTACTGGAATGAACTCGACTTGTACTAGATCATAATCTACACTTGACTGGAGGTAAACACTCTCAGTCTGAAAGAGAACTGAAATAAATCTGACCAGAATTTTACATGAATTTAGTGCAAGATTGGATCCTAATTTAGGCATCACAAATGAAGTTAATCATCACAATAGATTACTAATTCAGAATACTTTACCTGCATGCAATGCAACTACTTAAATTAAAGCCAAGTGTTGATGCCAAAAAAAAAAAACAGCTCCAACCTAACAGGAATATGCATGAAAGGGTAAACATAGATGGTTAACTACCAGATCATATCCATTGAACAAAAGCGACCAACAAAACATTGCTCATTTGATGATTCAAAGTTTAAAACACTTTCAGTGAACACTTGCCCAATGCCGAGTAACTAGATGTCCATTCAGTTCAGTACCTTGTCGAAACGAACATAACAATCCATGCTAATATGCTAGTATCAAGTAGAATTCAATGCACGTAAACTGGACAATGTCGCAAGATGATCAGATAATAGCAAGACTGGATCCTAATTTTGGCATCACAAATGGAGCTAATCACTACAATAGATCACTAATTCCGAATACTTGATCTGCATGCAATGCAACTACTTAAATTAAAGCCAAGTGTTGATGCCAAAACAACAAAAACATTCAACACAGCTCCAACCTGACAATAATATGCATAATGCATGAAAGATGGTTACTACCAGATCATATCCATTGAGCGAAAGTGATCAACAAAACATTTCTCACAGGTACAAGCCAAATGATCAACGTACTGATGATTCAAAGCTTAAAACGCAGAGTAACTAGATGTTCATTCAGTACCTTGTCGAAACGACATAACACTCTGTCCATGCTAATATGCTACTAGTACTCCCTCCGGTCCTTTTTACTCTGCATATTAGGTTTGACCGAAGTCAACCTCATCCAACTTTGACCAAGTTTATACAAAAAATTATAGACATTCACATAACAACACCAATATCATTAGATTCGTCTTGGAATATATTTTCATATTATATTTATTACATATTATAGATGCTAATAATTTCTAATATAAATTTGGTCAAACTTAGCAAAATTTGACTTTCGGCAAATCCAGTGTGCAGAGTAAAAAGGACCGGAGGGAGTATCAGGTAAAATTCGATGCACGTAAACTGGACAATGTCGCAAGATGATGAGATAATAGCATGATGTGAAGTTCTAAGCCGCGACTGGCAGGTAAAACAGAGGCATGCATCAGGGGACAATCTTGTCAACCTTCATCTTGTTGATCCAGGTATTGAAGGACCTCACCGTGTTCCGGAACCCGAAGAATCCATACTCCTTGCTCTTGTTCATGGTGTCGATGTTCTCCCGCTCCACGTTGACCATGGCGTCGACGCAGAACCAGTTGGTGATGTCGTTGAGCTCGGTCTCCACGAGCCCGTTGTCGTTGACGATCTCCGCCCACACGCCCTCCTTCCCGGCCATGGCCTCCTCCAGCATGAAGCGCTGGTCCTCCCCCTCGTATCCCGTCCACGCCACACCGAACTGGTTGGCGAGGATCGGCCATAGCTGCTGCCACTTGAAGAGGTCCCCGTTGCTGCAGTTGAAGGGTTCGTTCTTGCCACTGGGCTCCATGGCCGCCCAGAGTGCGTGCTCGGCGACGAGCTCCGCGTCGGAGGCGTCGCTGAAGCCCTCCCAGGCGACGCGGGATCCTGGCCAGCGCAGCACGAGGCCCTCCTTGCCGCAGATGGCAGCGTAGACGCAGAGACTGGCGAGGACGTTTCTTGCGCTCCGCGGGGAGAAGCCGAAGATGGTGGTGGGGCGGTGCACGGACCAGGTGACGCGGTTGTTGCTGGCGAGCCCGTCGAGGAGGACGTCCTCCAGGTCGGGGTAGTCGAGGCGCGGGAGGTCCTCGGAGTAGGGGCGGAGCGCGAGGGGCACGTGGGTGAGGGGCTCGAACGGGTCGACGTAGTGCTTGCGGCCGGTCTGGAGGCAGACGTGGAGCAGGCCGGGGCAGTTGGGGACGAGCGCGGAGAGGACGTTGCGGAGCATGGCGCCGTTGGCCTCGCGGCCCTCCCCGTGCGTCGGGCGGGGGTCCCAGGCGACGTAGAAGAGGTGGGTGACGTCGGTGAGGGGCGCGAGGGTGTCGGCGACGGCGGCGGCGTCGGCGAGGTCGAGGTGGTGGTGGAAGACGTCGGGCGGGAGGGGCGC